CCCTCTCGATTCCCCCAATGAACGAGAGGTCCACAAATTGAGCGATCAAACCTTCCTACAGTTAGGATTGTCTCAAAACACCCACTTGGTCAAACCTTCTTACAGTTAGGACCACAGTCAAAATCCCCTCTCGATTCCCCCAATGAACGAGAGGTCCACAAATTGAGCGATCAAACCTTCCTACAGTTAGGATTGTCTCAAAACACCCACTTGGTCAAACCTTCTTACAGTTAGGACCACAGTCAAAATCCCCTCTCGATTCCCCCAATGAACGAGAGGTCCACAAATTGAGCGATCAAACCTTCCTACAGTTAGGATTGTCTCAAAACACCCACTTGGTCAAACCTTCTTACAGTTAGGACCACAGTCAAAATCCCCTCTCGATTCCCCCAATGAACGAGAGGTCCACAAATTGAGCGATCAAACCTTCCTACAGTTAGGATTGTCTCAAAACACCCACTTGGTCAAACCTTCTTACAGTTAGGACCACAGTCAAAATCCCCTCTCGATTCCCCCAATGAACGAGAGGTCCACAAATTGAGCGATCAGGATATGCCGACGCCTAACACGCGTCGCCGGTTTAGTCTTTTACCGATTGAAAAAGACACCAGAGTTCGATTCTGGGGTATCTCATCCCGAAGCCTAAGTAGGGATAAGTCAACGTCTAATACACGTTGCCGGGTAGCCTATTCTCGTAACAATGGCGAAGCCTATGTATTCAACATCATAGCACAAAGTCTCAGAGAATTCACTCTCTTAGCACAACGTTACATGCGGAACGGATTTAGACAATCCGCATGCTAGCCCGACTCAAACGGTAGTCGGTAAAGGCTAATCAAACCCGTTGAAGGCTGGGGGTTAGCCAAAAACCCTAAAGTCAACGCCTAACACGCGTCGCCGGGTAGTCTATTCCCGTGAGAAAGACGAAGTCTACGTATTCAATATCGTAGCACTAAAAGGGTTAACTCTTTTAGCTTAACGTCACATGCGGAACGGACTTGAACAATCCGCATGCTAGCCCGACTCAAACGGTAGTCGGTAAAGGCTCATCAAACCCGTTAATGGCTGAGGGTTTGCTAAAAATCCTATAAATACGAGAGTCACTGACGCATCAGCTCCATTAGTTGGTCTCGTGACTTGAGCATCCAACGACGTTCGAAACCCTAAGGTCAACGCCGGACAACGCGTAACCCTAGGTCAACGTTGCCAAAAATCCTATAAATACGAGAGTCACTGACGCATCAGCTCCATTAGTTGGTCTCGTGACTTGAGCATCCAACGACGTTCGAAACCCTAAGGTCAACGCCGGACAACGCGTAACCCTAGGTCAACGCCAGTCAACGCGTTGCGAGCAAAAATTCAACGTACGACGTTCGAAACCCTAGGGTCAACGCCGGTCAATGCGTGATCCCTAGGTCAACGCCAGTCAACGCGTTGCGAGCAAAAATTCAACATACGACCTTAGAAACCCTAGGGTCAACGCCGGTCAACGCGTGATCCCAGGTCAACGCCAGTCAACGCGTTGCGAGCAAAAATTCAACGTACGACGATCAAAACCCTAAGGTCAATGCCGGACAACGCGTGACCCTAGGTCAACGCCTATCAATATGTTGTAATAAAAGAACTAATACTCCGAAAAGTATACGAGTATAAACTGCTTCTTAATACTCCGAAAAGTATACGAGTATAAACTGCTTCTTAATACTCCGAAAAGTATACGAGTATAAACTGCTTCTTAATACTCCGAAAAGTATACGAGTATAAACTGCTTCTTAATACTCCGAAAAGTATACGAGTATAAACTGCTTCTTAATACTCCGAAAAGTATACGAGTATAAACTGCTTCTTAATACTCCGAAAAGTATACGAGTATAAACTGCTTCTTAATACTCCGAAAAGTATACGAGTATAAACTGCTTCTTAATACTCCGAAAAGTATACGAGTATAAACTGCTTCTTAATACTCCGAAAAGTATACGAGTATAAACTGCTTCTTAATACTCCGAAAAGTATACGAGTATAAACTGCTTCTTAATACTCCGAAAAGTATACGAGTATAAACTGCTTCTTAATACTCCGAAAAGTATACGAGTATAAACTGCTTCTTAATACTCCGAAAAGTATACGAGTATAAACTGCTTCTTAATACTCCGAAAAGTATACGAGTATAAACTGCTTCTTAATACTCCGAAAAGTATACGAGTATAAACTGCTTCTTAATACTCCGAAAAGTATACGAGTATAAACTGCTTCTTAATACTCCGAAAAGTATACGAGTATAAACTGCTTCTTAATACTCCGAAAAGTATACGAGTATAAACTGCTTCTTAATACTCCGAAAAGTATACGAGTATAAACTGCTTCTTAATACTCCGAAAAGTATACGAGTATAAACTGCTTCTTAATACTCCGAAAAGTATACGAGTATAAACTGCTTCTTAATACTCCGAAAAGTATACGAGTATAAACTGCTTCTTAATACTCCGAAAAGTATACGAGTATAAACTGCTTCTTAATACTCCGAAAAGTATACGAGTATAAACTGCTTCTTAATACTCCGAAAAGTATACGAGTATAAACTGCTTCTTAATACTCCGAAAAGTATACGAGTATAAACTGCTTCTTAATACTCCGAAAAGTATACGAGTATAAACTGCTTCTTAATACTCCGAAAAGTATACGAGTATAAACTGCTTCTTAATACTCCGAAAAGTATACGAGTATAAACTGCTTCTTAATACTCCGAAAAGTATACGAGTATAAACTGCTTCTTAATACTCCGAAAAGTATACGAGTATAAACTGCTTCTTAATACTCCGAAAAGTATACGAGTATAAACTGCTTCTTAATACTCCGTAACCGGATCTTATAAAAAGACCGGATCTTTGTAATCGATAGACTATTACAAGAGTGTACAATGGAATCATTAATGAAGAAAGCAACGATTTTCCCCGCGAACAGCCATGTTAAAACATTTCTTCCGAAAATGTCCTCCAACATACATACATACACACACAAAATACATGCATGCATAGATAAGTCATACATCTTTAAATCCTTCAAATCAAACACATATGTACATACATAAACTATATCTCTTCAAAATCTTCTCATAACCCTATCAAATTAAATTATGTAATTATTAATTAAATGCATATGACATTTAGTATACTTAGATATATGTATACGTGGGAGTTTTCGTGGCTGCCAATTAAGGGTGAGCAGTTATCTTGAGTGGGGATGACGTTAATTACAAGTTTTTCAACTCATACACAACTTCTCACATTCTGGTTCTTAATTGTCACTTATTGCCATTAACTTACAAGTTTTTCAACTCATACACAACTTCTCACATTCTGGTTCTTAATTGTCACTTATTGCCATTAACTTCATCTTTGCACTTATTCATCTCCTCAATAAAAATATAATTAGCATTAAATTTCACCAAAATTCTCAAACAAAGTTCTATTCTTCATGAAAATGTTGGTATTATTATCGAAACAAATACAATTAAAATTTAACTATTATTTATTTAATATAGTTAAATATAACTAAGTCATCCTAAATTTTAGATATTAAATGTAGATAAAAAAACCACTTACCAAATTCATTGTCATTAATCATCATTAACATTTTATGAATTAATTCTAGAATTATTGAGTGTTTTTTCTTATGAGAATTAATGACCAATGTTAGTGGGTGCTTTTCATTAAGAATTAATGGAAAACAAGTTATGAAATCAATAGCCCTCTTGCTCTATAAAAATTTCCAATATCAAATAAGCTTTCTTCACACAATACTTAAATAATGGGCATCATGATTAGAAGGTAGATGACATGTGAGACAATCGATTTCTGAATTAGAAATCCTATTTGTTGGTTCATGATGATCTCGGCTAGAGGCGATGAACAACGAGATGAAGGTATAAAGATAGTTGATGAGGAATAGAGGAGGGGAAGAGAGCCTCGAGTAGAGGAGATAGCGGTATGGCCATGACCTAAGAGAAATGGAGCAGAGAAATAGAAAGGTAGTTTCTGATCCCCTTTCAATGTCCCAGATCTATTCGTCTTATTAGTATCTGTTTTAATCCATGTTTAGAATTAGATTTCAATTAGATTTGTTGTTTAAGATTGACTTTTGATATTGATTTGATTGAGAAAGAATGATTTAAATTGGTGAATTGGTCATCAGTTTTAGCTTCTTATTTTATAATGTTGTTAGTGAAATTCATGAATAAAAAATTAGCTATTAGTTTAATAAAATTATGCAAACAACTGATAATGATAAAATTGAAGTCAATAATGTAGTTTTTAAAAAGCATATCAAAACAAATTATCAACAAAGCAAAAAAATATTGAACTTGTGTTATTATGTTTATGAAAATTTTTCTATTATATGACAACGTTGTTTACTACAATCCCTAAAATCATTGTTCAAAATAAAAGTGATAGCCAATTTAGTAATAAGAGTATTCTTGACTTGCTATCGTGCTAATGTGACCACGAACTTAACTTATGGTATGAATATATATAAGTGAAAAAACCTCTCATATTTATCCTCTCATTACCTAATTATTGATCTAGATCTACATTGAGCAAAAATTAGGCTATCACTTTTAATTTATCAAACCACGTTAGCAGCAAAGAAATTTTTTTAACACATGTTATTAGCTGTATATGTGCATGTTTTACATAATGAAACAAAATAGAAAAGTAAAAAGAAATGGTTTGTCAAGGGTTCGATTTAAAAAGAAGAAAATACATTTATCTCTAACCCCTTATTTTCAAAGCATTTATTTTTAAGTTCCAAACTAAATTGACATCAGTAGCCTAAATATGAAAAAATCTATAAAGCAAGGAGAAAATTTTAAGTTAGGCCACTAGATACCCTAAAATTACATATGCATGCTTTACTTAACTAATGAAACAAAATTGAAAAGAAATAACAATTTTGAATTCTTCCTTAATCTTTTGGGCTAATTTTTTTGTTTTTTTTATAAAATTGCTCTTTATTTTTGTCCTCAAGAATGGTTAGAGGCCGGAAAGTTACAGAGGATTGTTCTTGTGATAATGAGCAAGGCGACGTCTGAAGTTCATGAGAGGTGGAATTTCAATATAGAAACTGATTCTGAAGTGGTCACAAAGGGGTAAACATTCCTTCATCTAGAGATGAAAGCACTACAAATTTATAATTTCTTATTTGCAAAAATTCATACTGAGAAAGAAAAAACTATTTCAGGGTTAGCAGGGAAAAGAGTGATAAGGAAATCATTAGGGAGATAGAAGCAATCATGCGCCAGATTGTTTCTTGCCTCACTTACTTGCCTTGCCTTGATAAACCCTGTAAACAACTTTAATCTTTTTTTGAAACACTTTTTCCCCCAATTTTTTTTTTTTGATTAGATTTGCTTTGCATTTGAATGTGTCTTCGACGTGTTAGCCTACACCGAAAAAGATGTTGCAGTCTCATTTACCTGGATTGAGAGTGATGCCAAATTGATCCAAAATCCACAGATGGTTAAGCTACATTCATTTGACACCAATGTATAGCTTCTCTTCGAGTTAGTATGTATTGACGTATTCTACATGTATTTTGTTTCTAATATCATAACTTCTTCCTCCGTGTTTTTGTTGTTCAGATACACATAGTGGATACGTTGGTTTCGTATAAGAACGACGAGTGGGACGAGTAGTAGAATACTTTTGTGAGGTGGTTTTCTGTGAATTGTTCATTCACATTGAGTGTGGAGGTGTGATGAACAAAGAGTTTATTCTATATGTATTTTGTTTCTAATATTGTAACTTCTCCATAGCCTTCTATAGGAAAGTCATAACAGTTCGCCTAGAATCTATTTTCTCCTTCTCCTCTTGCACCACAGTTTATTTTTCATTCATTATCAATAAGAACTTTGGGGCTACATATAAACATGAAACTTATTACACGTGCATCGCACGTGCACTATACTAGTTTACTAAGAGTGCTGCTACGGGGACCTAAAATATGAGACCAATAGAGGGGACAGGCGAGGTGTCCCCTCCCTATTGCATAATGAGTTGGCATGAGTTAGCATGGCCAACTCATTATGCAATAAGAAGGGGACACCTTACCTGTTCTCTCTCTTAGTCCCATATTTTAGGTCCTTAAATCATTTTCCTTATAAAATAGAGTCACGTGACCCCACTTTGATCAAGGAATAACAGAATCACGACCCACTTAAAACTCCCATCAAATCCAAAGCCCACCCGACTTAAATCTCTTGCCTCCAACAACCCAGCCCACAAAAGAAAACCACAGAACTCCACCGGGCCCCACCCAACTAAAAGGTCCCCACAATCTCGCAGGCAAATGTTCACTAACATTCTCCATCCTTTAGCTCCTCATCTTCTGCCTCTCCTTTTCTTGATGCAAGGTCCCTTTGTTTTTTTTTTTTTTTTTGCAATGACATTTATATTCGTCGCTAAAGCGATTGCGTTTTATTCATTGTTGATTAAATTGAAAAACATATAGTTTAAAATATTACTAATAATATGATTATGTACTTTTTTTCCAAATAAAAATATATCTGAAATTTTCTAAATTTTTTAATTGACATTTATATAGTGACACCACTCTTTCAAAATTTTGATCCACCCCTACCCGTCGACCTCATCTTTTCCCAATTCAATTGACTTGTTACATTCTAATTTTGTTTTTACGGTTAGATAGTTTAGAAGTGATGTTAATGAATATATTCTTGTATTATTTACTGATTTAATTGTACATAATAAATGTATGATAGAAATATTGCACATGAATTAATATATTTCTACGTATCTTCTTTCTTACATACAATAGATAATATGTGCTACGTGTGCTAAAACGTACACAATAGGGGGCTATTTGGTTGTATGTTTTTACATTGTAAAAGGATGGAAAGTGTAAAAAAGTGGGTCCCAATGTTAGCTTTCATCACTTTCAATTGTTTGTTTGTAGTTGTAAAAATAGTGTAAAGTAATTTCATATGCTGATGTGGCTTGTAAAATGTTTCATAAAAAAAACATGATTTTAGGAGAAAGCTGACATTGAAGTTAGGAAAAAATAATAAAAAATAATTCCAACCAATATGATCATTTGAGTAGGGACCACTTTTTACACTTTCCAAATAAATAATTAAAGTTACATTTACAAACCAAACAAGCAATTTATGATTCCAATGGAATCAAAAACAAACAAAGAAAAATATAAAAGTGAAATTGATGAGGTGGACAACAACTTTCTAAGTTGTGTCATAAATACGCAACTTTACCAACAACAACCAAACAGCCCCTGCATGTATATTAGAATCAACACAGTATGCAGTGTATCACAAAGACCATGCTTTGAACGTAAGACTCATTTCCACTGCACAAGATATAAATAAAAGGGGAATTGCAAATAACTCTTTTTCATCTATAGCTTGAGTTATCTCTCTCTCTCTCTCTCTCTCTCTCTCTCAAAATGTAAATTCAGAGATGATAAACACTAATAAAATAGTTAAAAATGATTAAGTTCAAACTCAAGGCGTGAAAAGAATTATTTGCATTTACCCTACATACATAAAAAAAAAAGCCTGAATTGTTTAGCGTGAATCACAAACCTTATGAAAATATAAATGATTTGTAAACTTATGAAATTCCGACGATGGGGGTCCATAAAGCATATGCATGAATTATGCATAGCACATCACTTGAGAAAGCCAGGTCAGAGTCGCTCGGAGGTTGGGGTCCACTGTATCTCTGGCACCGGCTCTTTTATTCGATGCCAAGTCCTGCACGCCAGCCACACAGGCACGTGCGGGAATTCCAGCGGCACGTGGCGGCGGTCAGATCTGACGGTCAGGAATCCATTTGGACGGCCGAAAGGTTTTCCCACCTTCGGTCCTTTCTCCTTTGTTTATCGCTTCTTTCACCGCCCAAAAAAGATTTCAAAGCTCCCCCCACTTAAATACTAAATAGACCACTGTTTAATACACCCATATTTTCACCGGCTTTCTTTATAAAATCATAAAATTCTAAGGGTTTTTTCCTTAGAAACCACCTAAAAATGGGGTAATTTATATAAAAATTATTTTTTATTTTCAAATTATACATAAACCATCTTTAAAATGCGTTTTTTGTTGCAATCAACCACTTTCCAGTCAGATTTTCACTAGCTAAAAACCAAGAACATGTTTAATTCAAGATTCATGAATTGTATCCCGGTCAATTTTTTTGAACTTATTTTAGTTTTTATTGAATTTTTTTTATTGGTTGATTACAATAAAATTACTTTTAAAGGTGGTTTATGCATAAACTAAAATTAAATTAATCATCCTATCCGAAAGTTGGTTTTTAAGGGGGAAAACCCAATGTTATATTGTAATGTTTACAATGACTTTGGAGTTGTGACGCTATAAAAACATGATATCAAAGCGTCCGCTTATCCTCCCTATTGACGACTAAGAATAACCCACTCTCATGTTAGCTATTTTGATAGGATTTATACATCCGTTTAAAATACTTTAAAGAGATTTTATCGCATGAGCCCATGTTTGAGTTGGTAAAATACTTAAAACAATATTCAGAGTTATAAAAATTATAACACTCAATTTTCGTAAAATACGAGAACCAATCTAAAAATGTGGTGGGTCCCAGTAGAAAGTACAGGGCTGGTGAGTTGAGTATTTTTAGCGAGGGAATTGGGGGGGTTTTAGTAGGCCCCACTGCCACCATTCTCTTGCCTGCTTTGAGTGATGTTGCCGTCGCCTTGCCTTTTTCTTTGGAGGTGGAGGTGGAACCCACACGTACCGGATCATTGGGAATTAGTATGCGACTCCTTTGCCTTGGCTTGGATTTGGATAGCTTAGCTTCGAATCGTCGCCGGTTGACTGTCGATCTTTTGACAGAGTCGTTTACCTCCTCGTTGACAATTACCCGCATATATAGGTGTCTTTTTTATATTTATACATCGACTCTCAAAGTTGTGTAATACTGGAAAAGTTCAGAGAGCTTTTTTTTTTTATTAATAGAAGGAAAAAAACTTCAGAGAGGTTATGAGCAAAAAAGCCCAAAGTTCAAGACTTCAGTGAAAAAATTATAGCCCAAAGTGTTTATATGCCAAGCATTGTGGTTGAGTATAAAGGGATTATTATAATATGATTAAAATATTTAATCTAGGTTAATACTAGTTAAAACTAACACCCCCCCTCTTCCGTCTCTCGGTCGTAGCTGCCGCCCTCCACGGTCCACATCACTAACTAATTCTGGTCCACACCTTCAAGCTTAATAATGATCTCTCTTAATCCAACTTGCTTTGATTAAGAATAAAAATTCTTCAAGAACTTAATTGGATGTCTATTGGCACGCAACACGTAATCCCAACATCTTCGACATAAGGTAAGCACACATGTTTTTCTCACCAAAAAAAAAAAAAATCAATTTAGCTTGAAAAGCTGCATAATTAATATTCTTTGATTATACAATTCCAGTCTAAAATGGCAAGCTGTTCCTCGATCAATATTCACATACGTACCCATGAATCATGCGTCAACATCTAAGCATAAAAAAAAATTAATTATTAAATCGTACAAGTGAATGAAGGTTTTGGAATTCAGAGTCTAAGCATTCGGTGTTGGGTTAGATTAATCCAACGAACCCAAGTGGCCCAACCTACTCGATTTTGGATTTGATTTAAAGTTGTCATCGATTCAAGTTAGGATCAGGATGCTAACCACATGGTCTGGTTAGACAGTTTCAAGTTTATCAAGTTGGGTGGTTATCTTGAATATCTAAAGGATAGGATCAACCGGAGTGTAATCCCACGGTTGTGATTAAACCATGATGGGTAGGGTTAATCACAAATATCTATTTAAAGGGTGGGAGTCCCTCCTCTCAACCGTATGCAGAAAAGAGACCTAATTCCCATCATTGGCTACGGGAGGAGAGAGGAGAAGACTTCCATTGTTTTCAACGGTGAACGGTAATTAATTTATATTTCTAGTTCAATTATTCATGCCTAGATCATCAAATTATCCAACAGTGGTATCAGAGCTAGATTGTGCATGATTTTTTATCTAGAACTAAAGTATTTTTTTCGGATTAAAAATAATAATAATAATTTTTGGGTCTTTCTTTTGCTGCTGGAGTTCTTTTGATCTACAATAATTTCATCTTTGCCACTAGATGAAGAAAACTCCTGCCATGGCCACGGAACTTTTCCACAGCAAACTTTTTTTTTAATCACAAACCCATGGCACAAACTCATGGCTGCTCACGGAAAAATCAACTTTGATTTTCTTTGATATCATGGCCGCTGGAAAATTAAACTTTGATTTCAACACAAGATCAACTTTGATTTCATCATGGCTGCGGTCAACTTTGATTTTTCATCTGTATACATGGCGGCATGAACCCATGGCTGCTCCTCGTATTTGTCATCTTAGGAATATCATGGCCGCAGAACACTTTAGAGAAAAGAAAAGAAAAAGGAAAGGAGGAGATCTTGCTGCTGTGTTTTTGTTTGCCATGGCCATGGTTGATGCAAAACCTTGAATTATAGGACTGTAATTATTTCAATCATGGTGGCGGCAGATATCTTGGGTCAAGTGGGTTTAGGGTTAGGGTTTTAATTAATTAAATTATTTAAATTAATTAATTAATCTTTTATTATTTGAGTTATGTAACTCTATAACCCATTAAGGAAGACCCGATCCAGTATGTAATGGACCCAACCCGCTACAGTAATGGAT